GTTCCGGACCAGGCACCTGCGAACATCACACCAGCCTTGCCCGAAGGGGAGTGTGCATCCTCGAGAAAGATCATGGCTTCGGGATCGATCTCGCCCAGGGTACCGTCGGCGTAGGCCACGCCAGGGTTCTTGGTCTCGGAAGCCGGAGAAAGATGCTTCACGAAGAGCAGCGTGGGCGAGGCGATGTTGGAGATGTCGTAGACGAAGGCTGTGCCCTGCTTCTCTGTGGCGGTCACCGCCAGGAGAGAGCCGCAGGCCTTGCCTGCTACGATGGCCTCCACGCCGGGACCATCCTTTGCAGAGCGGTCATCCACCATCTGACCGAGAGGGCACGCACCTGCCTTGCCGTCGCCGCCATCTGCGCAGCCGTCCTTGCTGGGGTCATTCATCTCATCCAAGGTCTCACGGAGCTTAGATCCCGCCGCCATGTAGAGGTGGCCGTTCACGGGAGAAAACTCCTCATCCTGGATGGCGTTGTGCGCCCAGGGGTAGTGGGCACACTGCTCCTTCTCGACCTGATCACCAGAATCCCAGGTGAGCGCCAGGCCGGATGTGCCGTGCTCATAGATGGATACACCACGGCCACCGAAGGCCACGATGTGCTGAATCTCCGGAGCCGACGGGTCCGTGTAGTTGATGGCCGTAGAGCCAACGGTGATCCTCGACTCGTTTGCGAGACCCTGACAGACTCCCAGCCATGCTCCCATCCCCTCCCTTGAACCTTTCCCCGTCCTTCTCGATATAGACTCGGCTCTCTGAAATAGCTTCCCTATCTTAAAAAAAATTACCGTGCCAACGCAACCCAGCCCTGGACACAGCACGGCTCCTCAAGCTGTCCCCGACAGCGCTGACGGCCATCGCGGTGCTGCGCGCGCTCGCGCTGACCGTCATGCCAACCATGTCACCGTCCACGGTTCCGTCGTCGTTCACGACATCCTCGGGTCATTTGCGTCAACACTATAAAAAAATATGTGTACAAGCGGTGTCTGCGCCCCACTGACAATCATCTATATGACATGTGGGCACAGACGGTGTCTGATGGCCTTAAGCTTCATCTTCTCGTCGAAGTCGCCGTAGCCCTCGAAAGGAGCACACAAACAGACAAACTTGCACCAGCGCCGCACGCTTGTCGCAGTCATGGCATCGGGTTACAACTTCGAGGGCCTTGTCGTCACCCTCGTTGGCGGTGATGACGTAAGTCTTGCCGTCCACTTCCACGGCCTGAATGGCATCGGGATGGCGGAGCGCCATGAGGCCAGTGTACCTCAGACGCCAGCGCGAAGCATGCACGAAGCACACTCTTTGAGACCCCTTGTCTCCTCGTCTCTGCTGAGGCCAAGGGGCGTGGCTTGGACGCAGGCCTTGTCGTCGGCGTTGATATCGATGGGAACGCTGCCATGGTCCTCTCACGCCGCCACGCAGAGACGCAGAGTCACCGCAAGAGATCCCTCGAAGCCCGAAGCCCGGAGCCCTCCCCAGCACGCGCGCGCGCGCGGACTGCACCTCCACATGTCCCGTCTATCGGGTCCTTCAAGCCGAGGCCTGAGATCGTGCTGAGCGTTGGGGACCCTGTTGCCGGCACCTCGGCTCAAGCCACACTGGCGCGTGATGGCGCATGATGGCGCCTGGCATCCCTGCCGAGCCGAGCCGCGTCGATGATGGCGACAGCATTGTTCTCCTGCAGATTCACGAAGAGCGTGGAGTCGTCGGCCGACCAGGAGAGGTACTCCGGCTCCAGGTTCCTCAGGCGC